GGGTGTGAATGGTAACTAGACATGTGAGTTGTCTACATACTCATTTTCACATCTGAAATCTAACAGCTAGTTTGGGTAATCCAGTATTTACCTGCTAGGCATGGAGTTCTTGCAATATATGAACAATGCTTTTAAATCTTTTAATGCTGGAGGTTATTCAAATATATTCCATGTACCATCTTTTCTGCCGGAAGAGTATTTTAGTCTCTTTTCCATAGGAAGGCTCTAATGGTATCTCAGGTTACATAATCTTCCTACATTCAATTATTTTGCATTTTTCTCTTTCCTTTTTTCAGTGTATAATCAGATTTTCTTTTTCAGTACAATTGTAATGAATTATAGACAAACATATTCTTTCCATTAGAAGAAGAAACAGCAATGGGGTAAACTGGTTCTCAAAATTCGTGGGTTTTTAAAGTCACTATAAAGATTTCCATTCTCCTCCTCAACCCCATCACTAGTTGGTAGAGCATATGCTGCAGATGCCCTGATCATGCAAGACTTCCTCCTTTCACAGAATCACAGAACGGTTGGGGTTGGAAGGGACCTCTGGAAATCATCTGGTCCAACCCCCCTGCCAAAGCAGGTTCACCTAGAGCAAGTTGCACAGAACTGCATCCAGGTAGGTTTTGAATATCTCCAGAGAAGGAGACTCTTTTATCTGTCTACTGTGAAACATTCTTAACCCACTCTAGACGTGCAGAGAGTTTGCTCTGCATTGAAATGTACCTGCCCATTTGATGCCCATTGGGTTTGCTCAATACAGATGGGTCTGCTCAGATGGGAGAAGGTCAAAGCCCAGCCATGTGTACCCATTGGTTGTCCCTTTCCTCTTTGGCCACTGTTGATTTCCTGTTGTGTGAGTGAAGTAGATCCCTGAGTTCACAACAAGACTTTAGAAAGTGTCTTGTGGCTGTTTCAGCATGAAAATACAGCTCCATGGATCGGATGACGGGAATGCGGACTTAGACTATAAACTGGTTTAGGCAATGATGCCATTATTCTTTTATGCAGTTAATGATGATTCAAGTCATAAGCTAATGCTTTCCATATAGATGGCAGGGAGAACAGCTGCTGCCTTGAGGAAAATCGAAACATTCCACTTTTAAAATATCTTTATAAAGCCATATAAATATATTTTTCATTTTGTGTCCTTGGGAATAGTTAAACCCAAGCAGGGTTAGGAGTAGAGTTGCTGAAATATTGCAGTGTGAGCTGTCATCAAACCGTTCCTAGTTTTTGGGTCACTTTGGCACCTGCAGTCTTGAGATTTCAAAGCTTGCAAACTCAATTCAACCTTATTCTGAATGTGGTCTGAGCTACTGCTTCAGAGATTTCCACCTCTGACAGGGAGTTCTGTTGAGATTGGCAGCAAGCCTGCTAATTTTTGCAGATTATTGGCAGATTGTTTCAATGTTTTTTCCCCTTAATATAAAGATGGTTTACTGGAATCCCTGAATTTTCATATTTGAAACTATTGAACCTTTCCTCACTGGTAAAATAATATATCCACTCTGCTTTTTCTTAAAATCTACCAGGTTATCCACATGTGTGATTATGCTGCAGCTCTGTACAAATACCTAATTTCCTTCTCTCTGAAAGCCATTGAGCTGTCCCATCGAGCTTTCCCCTGCCACCTAGAGCATTTCTTGGTATCATTAATGGGTCATACATGGAGCTGGACTCCATTTCTTATTTCTCTGCTGGTGTAAAAGGATTGCTTCTGCACACCTAGGTGTTTCTACACCTAGGTGTGGACAAGGGTGAGAGCAGAACTATGGCAATCCCTGGCTGGCCAGTGGCCCCTTGAGGGACTGTTACTGTCCAACATAGTGCAGAGCAGTCTGTAATAACTCATGTCTGTTTTGGGTACGGAGGGAGAAGAAAGGGAACACACAACTTTCTTCTATGACTTACTGCTCTGTAAAAGGATTTTAAAGAATCTTTGGGGAAAACTTAGGCCTCAGATGCACACATGTGGATCTCATTGATTTCATAGGAGGCTGTGTGAGTATGTACTTTAACAGACAGAATATGGCTTTTGATCCTTAAAAGCAATTAATATAAAATATGGAATTACACTACTGTGTAATAGGATATTTTTTACTACTTTGTTAAAAGTACTCCCCAAACTCAAATACAAGACAACGTAGCTTCATAGGCTGCAGTCTTTTAATGACATATCTTCACCAGTGCTTATCGCCTTCTGATGCCATTTATAAGTGTGTTTGTCTGTTACATTTTGAACTTTGGTAAAACATTTGTACTTAGTAAAAAAGCAAGACCAGGCACCTCCCTGTCCTCACACCTGTCCACACTGAGGAATGGCCTTATGACAGGAAGAGAAAGGAGAAATAGTTGTCATGACTATCTGCAGGGACTCCCCCATCACCATTTCTTTCCCGCTGTCATAAACCTGCAAGCACAGAGTGTTTGAGCACGTGTTTAAAGAATGAGCCTGTAGGTTGCCAAGTACCTCTTGTAGCTAATACCTGAAGGAGTGCGATGGACTAAAAATTTCTGCTGGTGCAGACCTTGCAGGGGCTTGCAAGACTTGAAGGTGGGTCCCCAGGGTCTATGTCCTGAAACTGCTGCAGTCACATCTATCTGTGAGTGGGTAGCAATAAAATGCAATGAACCTTGACTGGAGGCATCTTTGCTTTCATTTTGCCTATGTGAAATTTTCAGTGTGTTGGACTGACAGAAATATTCACCATGAAATCTGAAGCAGCTTCTGCCTGGAAAGTTTCCCAAAAATAATTGCCTCTGAAAACAAGTCCAGGAATGAGCAAGAGTCATTGAGCAAAGTCTACCTGCAATGGGCTCTCAGTGGGAAGAGCAAACTCTTCTCAAAATGTTTCTCCATCGGTGAAGTGGCACAATGTGCTTCTTGCAGCAGAGGAATCTAATGTAGGAAGCTAAAGGACTTTTCAAGTCTCTTTACTAAGCTGTTGAATTGTAAAAAAATAGGAGCTACACTGTAGGAGTCACTTTGTCAAGGTTAACAGTCTTGGAGGGGAAAAAAAGGATTGTTGTATCATCTCAGAACAAGAATTTACATGTTTTTGTTTGAAATGAGCTGTGGTCTTGTTCCCAGTTCCCCAGTCTGTGTTACACAAGAGTCGGCACAATCAGGAACAGAAACCTTTCTCCTGAAAGGTTTCCATAAGTCTCCCCAGCCATAAGACTATTTTTGTTCCTGCTTTCCTGCTTTTGTACTCGAACATCTCAATCTTTTTGGCTGAATTGTTCAGTATATATTCACCTTCAAACAGAAACTGAATCCAGAAAATTTCCATCTGATGGTCTAAGTGAGATTTTAGGAAGTTGTGAACAATGGGAGGGAGAGTAATAACAGAAACATGCGTGCAGCCCTAATCATAAATGGTACTTGTAATTTAGCAATAAAAAATATGTATCTTTTATGGTATTTCTATTTTGCTGAATCTCTAAATCTAATGGACTGAGTATTTTTTGCTATTAAACTTCATAGATTACATCTGAAGTCATAATACTCTATGAAAAGCCATCTAGCTCATTGAGTTTTGATTGTAGCTTTATTGTTTAGTTTGATTGTATCAGATGCTATTTATTCCATCCAGATTCACACTTATAAAACATTTAATATTATTTTTGATGAAACTAATTTGTTGTGCAAAACAACTTGTTTGTCTCTTTCTCCATCCTTTCAAACAACACTGCTCGTAAAATTTTGCTGAAAAAAATAAAGCTGCAAGAGCCTTTTTAAAACAAAAACACAAAACCCCCTAAACAACAAAATAACCCACAGAAATTCCCAAACAAAAACAAAGCTCTGTTTTTTCATGCCCTGGTAGACTATTAGAAAATAGTTATTTTGCAGTGAGGAACAGAATACCATTTTTTTTTTGATAGAAAATTATTGACATAGCTGGAGACCATGTATTACCTAGCACCTATCTGCTGTCCTCTTTTGTGGTGGGAAGACATGCCTGCAGTGCTTTGGCGAGGAGAGCAGCCAAAACTAAAAGACTCTATACATAATGCTCTATTACAATGAACATTTTCAGTGTGTAATACAGTAAAATTCCTGTTATCTGAATTCCATATTCTTCAATTACCATAACTTGTGATTCAGATAAATGGGAATCACCAAGATAGAAACTTGTAGAGTTTATTAACTCACTGGATATTAATCTCTTCCTAGTGTTATTTATTTAATCTGCAGCATGATCTGGCACATAAACACAGCAGGTTTACTTTATTTTACCAATTCAATGCAAAATATTTCTTGCATCAAAAAATGCATTCAAGTTAGACCTTGGGCTACAAATCTGAATTTATGTTAACTGGACTTCACATGTTCCAGGTTGGAAGTATATCCTAACAGAATCATCAGAAAGAAGGACAGTCAGTACAGATGAAAAATAAGAAATTATTATCTGTGTTGTAGCACATGTAGAAGTGGAGATAGGATCTACCTTCACTCTTTTCCAACTCTAGGAAGATTCTAGATAATATTTTGGATTGGTTCTTTCTTTTATTTATATTAACAGAATGGAGTAGAGAAAGTCTTGGGGCAACTGAAGCCCTGTGGTAAATTGACTGAAGTAGATGCAGATAGATGACTTGTGAATTTTGTTCCTGGCATTACAAATGAGAAAGGATGCTGAGAGTAGCTTTTCTGCACATCAAAGGTGCAGATAAAGTTTATTGTTCTGTAGGATACCTTGGAGCTGCTCCTCAAAGATTAGGCCAGCATAATTAAACATGGATGTACATTAAACACTTAAATCTATGGTTTCTGCCTGCCCTCGTGCTGAGCATTTGGTTGGTGCTGCATGCTTATTTCACTTTTGGGTTTAGCTTGTTCCTGCAGCTGAAATTTATCTAAGTTTATTTCCTCTGAAGGAAAATGTGTATATTAGAGTCCAGAATGCCTCACCCTCTTTTTGATGCTGTGTTACCTCCTTGCTGGCTGGCAGGGATGGAAAGGGCCATAGATATTGGCCCCCTAAAGAATGAGTGAATCGGGTATGTTTGGTTTTGAAGTGGGAAAAGTAGTGTCATTTAACAGTGGTTTTCATTTTGGTGCTCAAAAATGACATAAAACCTGGATGCCAGGGAGGTATATCCATTGGGGAGGAAGAAACCAGCCCTGCTCTCCTCTGTGATTGGGACTGACTGTGCTGTTGCTGGGTGGAACACCCTAATGCTGTTGCTGCTCCTGCTCCGGCACTGTGATGTTTCTGTTCCTGATTGTGCTGACTCACATTCAAGAAAACAAGATACACAGACACAATGCACTATAAGTCTTTTCCTTTCCCCCAGTAACCTCGGTAAGTGTTTGGTTTCTTTTTCCTGTCTGTGACTGGCATAGAGTTAATATAGCTTTACAGTTAGAATTAATTAGAGGGGGAAAGACAACCTTGTAAACAAACCAGTAGCAGACAGGTTAATCTTGGGGAGAGCACTTAAATGCAACCTGCTGTTTGTGGTACATCCACTTCCCTTTAAAGCTGACAAACTACACTTGTTAGAACTGTGTTCTTAAATGGGAGAAGTGCTTACAATGCCCATTTACAACTGTATTCTGTTTAATTAGTCAGCACAGCCAGTGCTGCAGGGATAGATCACTTGCCTTTACAGATTTGAGAATGTTAATAGTACAGTATATCATTTTAATTATTATTGGATGAATGTTGTGTCTCGAAGAACATCTAACGCAAATCACAAGAAATGGCCTGAAGTGACCCAAGGGTTGTGCTTTATTAGAAAAGTAATAGGTCCATTGCTTAAATATAAAGAGAGGTTCTTTCTTCAAATGTCACTCTGCACTGGGCTTCTCTGTGTGTGTATGTGGAAATGAAATCCTCTTGCTTCCACTTTGTCCACAGAAAGTTTCTGTAGCTCATGCAATAAATGGCTGAGACAGTAGGTGTAATACCAAGAGATGAAGAGGACATCCAAATAACAGGAACGATGAAGACACGTTTCTGAATCATAATGCTCTAACAGCATCCCCCAGTTGCTCGTTAGCCAGCTTTAATGAAGACAAGGGAAGTTCAGCAGTGCCAGAAAGACTGTCTGTCCTCTCCAGCAAAGCCGTGGCCCATGTAAAAGCCCTGACTGGCCCGGAAATGGTTAGTGGTGGCCAGGCACAGAGGACAGCCTCTCGGTTGGCTGTGCATCATCCAACAGATGTAAATGCATCGTTAGGTGGCTTGTCCTGCCTCGCAACGGTCAGTAACCTGCAGCCTGTGGGCATGGCCCCTTGTGGTCTGGGCCGGGTGATTTGGATGAAGACTGCAAAAGTAATGGAGACCTTAGAAAATAAGAAAAAGGAAGAAAAGGAGAAGTACCGGCTCCAGCTAGCTATGTACCGACGGCTTCTGCTGTTGCGCTCAATCAGGAGCTTGCATAAGCAACTGGAGCAGCAGCAGGCCAGATTGCAGGAATGCTACGGCATGGTAATACATACCAAGAAAGAAGTGTTGAAACACATTCGCTCAACCTCGCCCTCACCTTCACCGTAATCATGTTGCTGCTTGCAGAAATGATCTTTGTAATGCTACCAGAGCCGTCAGTAAGCTTGTATGCCATAGGGGTGGTGTCTTCATACCCATGAGTACGTGCCCACGTGTGCAGAGAGGAAACAGCAGCAGCAGCAGCCTAGCAAGAAGAAAAGGGGAGATAAAGTATTGGCTCCTGAATTTATCTGGAGGAAACTGGAGCAAGATTGTACCTGTGCAAGACAGTGCCTCCTGATATGCATTCAAAGCCTCAAGCTGAAATAGGACTTTTGGCGTATAGGTTTGTAAAAAGAAAAAAAAAAATCCATGACTGGGAATCTAGTCTGACACCTGATCTGTAAAAGTGGTCAGATGGGAGTGATGCTGCCTGCTGAATATATGATATGGCACATCTGCCTTCTACTTTCAGCGCTAACAGAACTTGAGCAGAATTAGGATTCATTTATCCACAAGAATACATGGATCTAGAAAGCCATGATGTTCGAAACACATAACCTCAGGCTTGATTATATCTACCTTGCTGCCTGTTTTTTCACAAAATTGCTAAGGCCATTGTATGTTTGTGACCTCTACCCTCCTCTAAAATGTATTTAGATTGAGCAGAAATTATTGTGGCGTGGTAGGACAGTCCAACACATGCACAGGGAGAGTGTGACTACCTAAGCCTTTTTTCCTTAGGAAAGCAAGCAAAAAGAAAGGCCTCATAATCTGGCGTTAAACTGGAAACCCAGACTGGCAGTGTCAGGGGAATGTTCGAGGTCTGCACAATTATTAATCTGCTGCTAACTCCCTGTGGCACTAGCATCTGCAAATCAAGCATATTTTGTGCCTTACTGCTGTCATTGAATGGAAGTTGGTGACAATTAGCACTTTTTATCCAGGTGTATTAGACATGTGGAAAACCCTAGAGCGCTATTTCTCCAATTGCAAGGTTTAGGATGCCTGCAGGGAATTTGATGTCAGTATGCAACAAACACACAGGGAAAATGAAAGCAAAAAAAGATGCAACTTTTTTGTATGCCTTTAAAAGATGATGTGAGCCCCTGTTATTGAACAGCAAATTGAATAGTTGAATGTGCTGTTTTAGAATCTGAGGCAAAAAAATATTCAAGAAGAAAAGATACTGAAAATCTTCCTTTTCTAGGATTTAAAGGGATATGGAAAAATCTCATTTTCTTCAGATCTTTATTTCTAGTAGTGCTACCTTTCCTTTTCCCCTGTTGATTTTTTTGTTGTAAATGTTTAAGTAGATGAACAATCAAACAACTTTTTGATGTGTTTTTTTCCACACAAAAAGGCAAGTCTTATTAGAAGTCATATCTTTCTGAGGATAACGTGCTATATATAGGAAACTTTTCACCCTCAGCTTTTTTGTGTGTGTATAGAGAGAGGATGTATGTTTGTGTATGCATGCACACACATATCCTTGTATAGAAGAGGTTCTGAAAGGCTGGTGCTTCTTTTTCTGTAGCAGAAGCAGGAACAATATCTCAAAATAATCTCTGCTGTCTGTGAGGAGTTTGGGTGATTAGATTCACATATATACTTCTGCAAGCAAGGTATTGAAGTAATTCAAAGATTGAAGTGCAGCACAACATTGTCATTATTCCATCATTGTATTTCTGTGCACCCAAAATTATGGAAGCTCCCTGGGTATTCACAACCTTAGATTCATTCATCTCCTTGGGCCTTGGTGTAGCCTCTCACGCAGCACGAGGCTTTAACTTTGAATGCAGAATTACCATAGAAACATCCTTGGCATCAAGGAGATATTTGAAGAAGCATCTTCTACTGCCTCATTTGGGGGATTTGAGTTGTCAGGGACCTCTAATGGGCTGCAGAAGGGAGCTGAGGATTGTGACTGGGAGATGCTACTCTTGAGCTCTGATCCCATCCAGCTCTCTGCTCAGCCTTGGGAAAGCTGTTCTGTCAGTAAAACAGGTCTCCTAAAGAACACTTAAATACTAAGCTCACCTCAAAGGTAACCTAAGTCTTAGTATGCCTCCAAAGAAGGAAGGTTGATCACGGTCAATAGAGCTATGCAAAGATTTGATGCTTTTTCTTATTTTTTATTACTTCATGTACTAGAAAAACCTTTTTGTCGTTGGTTAAGAAACCAAACATAAGCAAATCACTGTTATGTCATCTTTCTTGGAGAAAGAAGTGTTGGAGAAGGGACACATCTCCAAAATGTTACTGAATTTTGAAATCAAATGTCAAATTGTTCCCATTAGGAAGACAGTCAAAATATACACTTTTGTTAATTTTGGCCAAATTTTTGTTTGTTTGTTTGAAAAAGAATTATCTTCTAAATTAGATTCAGCTTGACTAATACTATCATGTCACTGAATTTTCCACTGAAATAAAATATGTGCACAAAAATATAAAAAACGCCTGGTAAGATAAAGTAGCTATTTCCCCGTGGTAGCCGCTGAAGTACAGTATTGTCCTTCGTTTGTTGCAAGAAGTGGAATGCCCTCCATTAACATATAGACCTATCTTTAGTGTCATATTTGCATTTAAGGGTGACTAGAATAACATTAAAAAATACTTCTTACATAATACAGAGTGCAGCAATAGTTGAGTTGTCAACCTGTCCAACTGTAAGTGCTTTGCAGCAGAACAGTGACAATCTTTGTTTTGTACAACACCTCTCATAAAATTTCTTGATCCTAATTGGGATCAGTAGATGCTTCTGCACTGTGAATATTAAATACCAAAAGATTTGTGCATGAGCAATGCTGTCTGATAGCTGGCAAGAAAATGACGCCAAGGTTTGTTCTGTGTGTGCATACTCTTTCCGTGTAGCTCTTTTATGGATATGTGCAAAATAAATGTTAACTGAGGAAAAAACATCCATCTTTGCAACACTTTCCTGTTTAGGTGGTGGTTCTAGTGTGGCTACTAATAACTGGAGTTGGGCAAACCAATTAAACACAATGTGATTTAAGAAATTAGTTTATTTTACAAGCTTGGAAAATATGGCTTAACAGCTATGGATTTTTTCCTTCTATGTTTTTGTATATTTTAGCAGTTGAAGACTAGTGAAAAAGTGCCAGGATCCATGGGGGTGTTTTCAGGCATATCAGACAGAGCAACCAACTAAGGTTTGATAAAATTGTGTCCTCTCAAATTGTTCGATCTCCTCATGTGGTCAAGAGGTTTGGTAGTTTGGATGAGGTTCAACTAAATTTCTTAAAAATCTATTTTTTTTATTCTAAATGCAAACCACATGGGTTTAGTGCTGACGAGAAATACAAACTTGGATTACTGAAATTTCATATATGTGCCTAAGAACCCACAGGTCTTGGGTAATGATGACAAAATAAGTAGTTTTGGTCCTGTCAAGGACCAAAGATCTCCAGGAGAAATCTTCTCTGCGACCCAGCAGCTTATATTACCTACTTTTACAATAAAGTTTGAAGTTAAATGATACTGCCTGAGCCTTAAGGTCCTGCTGCTCACATAATTGCCTAGCCAGCCTGAAATGGCAGAAAGTAATCATGGGTTTACCAGGTCAGAGTGGCACATTAAAAAAGGTTCCAGCTCCCTCAGAGTCATTGCTATCACTAAAAAAAGTGTAGCTTGTGCCTACCTGAACTCAGAAATCTTTAAGAACAGAATGGAGTTATAAACAATGAAGTGACAAAATGGATTACTGAGATGTTCTTTAATGCAAGGGCTTTTCTCATGCACCACCAGCATTTCAGTTAGCTCAACTGATGTCCTGGAGACTGGTCAGAGCTGTGTTTTGGCTGTTTCTGGTGCTGATGGCTATGAGTCAGCCCAGCTTAACATATTCACTTGTTACCTCTTGTGATGGAGCCACATGTATGTGGGGGAATTGATCACTTCCTCCTTCCTGATATTTTCTTGTATGTCTATCACATCCCTTAATTAGGACAGTGATGTTTTTACCAGTTTACAGTAAATATATGATATTATGGTAAACTTGTGAGCCATGCACTACCAAATGTGGATCATCCTGCATTGTTCTCAGAGCTATGAAAATTATAGACTCTGGGTATGACATAAGTATACAAAAGATAGATTTAAAGATGAGGTTGTTTAAATCTTCCCTGGCTCCTGACTATTCTTAGAGAAACTCTTTAGAGTCCTTGATACCGTTTATTTAAAGAAATATTATTGATCTGGAATATAAATATGCTGGAGTGCACCATTTGTTTATGACAGCGCAGTAGGTTTGGGATATGCTTGAATGGGACCCTACTCCAAATGCAGTGGGTAAGGAGTAAATGTTCCTCAATCTTAAAGCTCAGAGATTCAGATGAGCATGGTAGCCAAAAGCCTGGATGGAGGATGGAAAGTGGGAATGAATAGAACTACAAGGAAAGATGTTTTAGGGTTTGATTTTTAATGCAGCATGGAGAATGGCACGCTGGAAAGGTTGTTTTTTTTTCTCAGATAAATATGACCTTTTTCTTTTTCTCATTCTCAAAACAACTCTTTTGGATCATCAGGCTAGATGCATGCTAAGGGGTGTTTGTGTAACTGCAGTACACGGGAGTTGATACCCATCTCTGCAGTTGAGTGACAGTAGTTCTTGTTGCCAAAATTTGCACATACCACTTACTCCTCTAAACCTGGTTTTTACCTAAACTGAAACATGTTGCAGTCAAGTGTCCTGCTGACTTTCAATGACATTTGAATCCAGACCAGGACTTTGAGGTGGTATGCCTTGTTGATGTCCCTTCTGAAGTTTGATGCATTTCTATCATCTCCCTGTGTTTTCAAACAATTACAAAGGTCTTGGATGGTACTGATCTTTATCCTTCTGGCAAAATGTTTGGAAGATTTGGGAGAAGAGGAAAGAGGCCTTCCTATTAGTCTCTTGTGCTATTGAAGAAAGGGGGAGGTAGTTTTTTGGTTTAATTAAAATTCATAACAAGGAAGATAACCCTGTGAAAACACTTCTGGAGGGTTTACGTAAATGTCTTGAAAATAACAGCAGTTCCTACAGGAATAAAACCACAGCTGAAAAC